AGGAGAGACGAAACGTTTCACTAAAGAAGAACCATCCAGAGGACCTACTGATTTTTTCTTTTTGATTTTTTCTACCTGGATTACTGAGATGCATCAGGACGATTGAATGAATTGTTGAATTATTTACTGAATGAATGAATCACTGTGAAGATTCGGACCTGGTAGAGTATCGGAGCTCTCACGCCGATGTCTCTGCCTCATCTTGGACAGGTTTGGTTTACTACTCTGTGAAGGGGGTTCTGGTTTTGACGCCACTCGACATGCAGAGACCCCTCCTCCTCCTCCTCCTTCTCCACCGCTCCTCCATCCATCTGTGGAACCCCAACTGGCATCAAGACCGGGCTTCCTGTCTCCTGGGAAATCCTGCTGCTGCCACTCTAAGCCTGCTGCCACCTCTGTGTTTTTCAGAGGATCACTGCCCTGTTTGGGAGACGGCGTCTTGTCTGATGGGTAAGGAGGCAGTGGCCTTTGAGCCAGATGRAGCGCCTGGACTTGTCTATCCAACTTTCTTCCAGGGTGTCTGCTCTCAGTCCCCTGGTTGTCTACCTGCAGGTCCGTTGGCCTGTTTTCAGACCACAATCGTTCAATCTGTCTTCCGCCCACCCACTGTCTTTCTATTTTCCTGTCAATTTGCCGTTGGGTGTGTCTGTCCACAGTCCACTGTTTCTCCAAATGTCTCTCTGAAGGTTTGCTCTCAGTCCCGTACTTGTCCGGTTGTCTCTCGATCATTCTGGGCTCTCCAAAAGTTYTTTCTGGTATCTGATCGTCCAACCTCTGCCTCTCCGCATGTGGATCGTTTGGCCGACCCTCCATGATCCAGTCAGTTTCTGCCTGCAGCACCTCTGTGGTCCTCTGTTTGTCGTCTGCCCAGAACTTGTCTGTCTCCACCTGGGCTTCAAAGACAGCGTCCACCTCAGACACCTGTCAAGACATCAGAAAAAAAACCTTGAATACTCAATCTGGATTATTTAAGGGTTCAATATTCCAGAGTGGCTCAGTTGGTAGAGCTGATGCCTCTCAGGAAGAAAGTTGCCGGATCAAATCGCGGGCCGGGGACCTTTCTGGGTAGAGTTTGCATGTTCTCTCCGTGCATGCGTGGGTTCTCTCCAGGTACTCCGGCTTYCTCCCACAGACCAAAAACACAACTGTTAAGTTAATTGATAACTCTAAATAGTCCCTAGATGTGAGTGAGAGAGTGAATGGTTGTTTGTCTCTATGTGGCCCTGTGATGGACTGGAGACCTGTCCAGGGTGTACCCCTCCCCTCGCACTGTGACTGCTGGATATGGACACCAGTGACCTAGGGTTGGGTACCGAAACTCGGTTCCAGTACGGCACCGGGTCGGACATAAACGGTAGCACTCAAACCCAAACACAACTCTAATTTTGGTGCTTTATTTTGGTGCCTCAAAGAAAGCTGTTAATTGCGCCCTCTGGTGTTCACTGTTAACAGTGACAGCCTCGACACAATCTCCACAGAGTGCCAACAACAATAAGGGTGASTTATGAACTTTTAATGTGTTTGAACTGTCTAATTTAGCTGTTTCTGCCGTCTGTGTCGGACTATGAGTGGTAGAGAGAACAGCTCGAATGGGAGCGTAGCAAGCACCATGGTTTTACTTTCGGTTTGAAACCACACTGTAATTAGCATGTCCACATTGTTTTTCTTTTTAAAAAATGCTGTAACTGCTCACAGGAGGCATAGAAGAACACCTGTATTGTTCTCCCTGCTGGATTAAAATAAAAAGCTCT